AACTAGAAGGCGTGAAACTCATAGCTGCCACAGGATGCTGCAATGTCTAAGGACACCGGTCTGCCCTCCTGCATTCATGGAAGAAAGATCTATGAACGCTGAAGACACATGAGGGTCAATCTCCCTGCCTTTCAGGCCCAGAGCCCTAGGCTGGTAGCAGATTATTCTGGGGTAATGGGACCGTATCCTTGCCTGTTTGCTTTGCTTTTCAGTGTCCTGTCCGGGCTGCTCGCTGTTGGACAAAACTGGACTGACTTCTGTTCAGGCTTGGGACTTTCTGCTCTAGGATGCAGTGCCTAAAAGTTAATTAAAACGCAAAGCCGCTCATGCTTGCCCTTATTTATTAGAGATGTGAGTGAGGGCTGAGGAGCAAACCGGCACAATTTGGCATGCTAAAATATGTACAGCAGCGATGACGCAATATTGTCTGCTTAATTGAGAGAGACAACAAAACACTTGTTTGAATGCTTTGCTGCTTTTGCTGTGGGAGCCTTCCAAAGGCATGCTTGGCCCCTGCCAGGGCCCTTTCCTAGTTGTTAGTAGGATGTAATGAAGATCACGGCAGCTAAAAGACTTTCAGGAGCAGTCAATAGCTAGTTTTCACTCGGGGCATGTCAGGCAGCGTTACAGAAGCGCGAGGCATGGAGCAGTGACAACCTCCAACGTGTTTGCCGCTTTGTCCCTGCCTGAACTTGCAAGGAAGGATTTGAGGAAGGCAGGAGGCAAAAAGTTCCCACACAAGTACTGCCAGCCCATGGTTACTGATGACGGCAACCTCAGACCTCTGTCTCGGCGATGAGCTGCACGAGGCTGTAGCTGCAAAGATCAGGCTGAGTAGCAGAGAGCAACGGGGCTCAGCTTCAAGGTCTTATGAGCTCAAGTCTAAGTGGTGACTAGCTATCCAAAAGAGGAATATATTTTTAAAAGTGCAATCAGTGTTTTCTCTATGAAACTTGATTTTTTTCAAAGTGTGATTTTTAGGTTGCTTCAGCCTGTTTTGACTTCTACCATTCAAGTGTATGAAAGCAGAACATTTAAGAGTACAGTGATACGGTACCTTAATACAGATTTTAAAAAGAAAAAAAATTGTTTGGTTTTTTTTTAACTTCTTCCTTTTTGTTGAAGAGCCTGAAAATGGGCTATGGGCCTGATACTAGAATTTCCTCTCTCTTCTTTTTGCACTCTTGAGAGATTGCATGAACACGGCTCCCAGGCGTTTCCTGAAGCTGTAAACTAAACTCCACCAAGTAAGGAAGTGTTGATTATTGAGTTGCATCTTTTCTCAAACACCAGGGCCAATTTGGTCAGTAACAAAAGTGGAGGGAATAGGTGAAGAAGGGTAGAATCTCACATGTAGGGGAACGGCATAACTGCACGCTCGGGAGGAGGGTGCGACACAGGAAAATGAGAAAGCTTGAGGTTACCGCAGTTGCCTTTGGCTGAATCAGTTAACTTATGTAAGAGCTGAACTTCTATGTATTTTTTAATCTTTTGCATGGGACTTGCACACATCTGTACAAATAATCTTGTGCAAGACTCCTCCATCTCAAGGATTAATCTTATTCTTTAGGGGCTTGAGGAGGCTTTTTTTGGATCAGGCCTTGATTACCAATGGCCGGAGATGGGTTTACATTAAATATAAATGTTTTCATTGCACTAGTTCATTTCATCTGATGTGGTATATTAGTTCTGACAGATTCTGGTCTAAGGTGCTTCATATAAAAATGCAGGGCAGCCTAGGGAACAGTTTTTGGAAAATCCTGCGTCTATTGAACCATCCCAGCTGAAAGCCTGGGACATCTGTGAGTCTGGAAACTTTATACCATATGTTTATTTTCATTCTAATGGAGAAACTATCATTTCTAGTATTTCACATATCTAATACTTCCAAATCCTGCAGTAATGGGCAGTGGTAAACCATGCTGATGAGTTGCGCAGGCTAGTCATGTTGTGGTTTTGCCACTTTTTAGAAGCGTTGCCTTAAGTGTCGTATCTTATTCCATTGTTTCCTGACAGACCATATTAAAGCTGGATGACTCAGATCACCACTGCTCATCCATCTTTCCATCAGAGAAGGCAGCAATTTGGATCTTTTCCCTCTACCCCGTGGCTCAGCCTGAGGCGGTTTAATCTCTTCTGTCTATCATGGAAATAAAGTCTTCAACTATTAGTGACCAGATCAGAGATTAACAACTGAAACCCAACTTTTACTTAAGCACTGACAGAAGTTTGTGATATGAGTGCTCTTGCATCTTGTTGGTATTGTATAAGGGTCAGCGCTCCAAGTGCAGCAGCTGATGGAGCCGTGCCTCCAGGGCTGCCTGGCCACCCAGCAGCCACCTTTATGCTACCAGGAAAGCCAGACCTCCTACTCCTTACTGCGGGTTATGCTCACTAGTGCATGTCAAGTTTTGTCAAGCATTGGAACGGGTTGCCCAGGGAAGTGGTTGAGTCCCCATCCCTGGAGGTACTTAAGAGATGGGTAGACAAGGTGCTTAGGAACATGGTTTAGTGGTGGACCTGGCAGTGCTAGGTTAACGGTTGGGCTTGATGATCTTAAAGGTCTTTTCCAACCTAAACGATTCTATGTTTCTGCGTTATCTAAAATGTGGTTGCTTATGCTATCTACTCGTGTCTGCTAGGCCTTTATTCTTGCACCATTTGCAAATAAGCAGGGGTCATGTTTAGAGCAGCAGAAATGCCGGATAAGGTACTGAAATGTCTTCGTGCTATAAACTTCTGTGCTTTGTCAGTAGTAATTCAGGAGGCTTTGGCCTTAAGACAAATTTTTGCTTCTTTATTACTTTTTATTTAAGTGTAGATAAGAGGTATGCTTGATCCTTAGCTGTAATTAATGTTTCGGCTTCTAATCAGTGTGCCCTGCAACTATGCTACTTTGATCAAGGGCTGTTGTTTTAGAACTGGAACTTTAAAACCACTTGTACACTGTAAGTCAGATTTTTATCTTCAGTGTTCTTACAGTCCGTTACTAATTTGTGCCGAAAAAAAAGGTATTAAATTTATTACATGTTTCATGATAAAAGTGCTTGGTTGACTAGAACCACTTGTTCAATCACTAACAGCTCCTTCAATAGCATCCAGGTTATTTTTAAGATCGTAGAGTTTAAGGAAACAACACACACAATTATTCCCTTTAGCAATCAATAGCTTGTAAACCTGCTGATTTACCACCATGCATGACAGATTAAACCAGTATCCGCTTCCTTCAAGTTCCACGGTAAATAAATCTGGCAGAAGCACAGGGGGAGCGGACTCAGGTTTGCACCTTCACTAAAAGAATGGAAGAGGCAATTTGTCCCCTTCTCCCTAGATGAAGTAGCCAGCTGGCCAGTTACAACATTTTACGAGTCTCAAAAGCAAAGTGCTTCATCAGTTCTGCCTGTCTGAAAGGGTCTGCTCTCTTTTTCCTCTGAGGCCATGAACTTTTTAATTTTTTAATCTTCATTCCAGACACCTTCCATCACATCCCTGTTTGTCAAAAACTATTCTCCCTACCATAGAAAATGTACAGCTTCAGTTTTGCTCATGATTGCATGGGACCAGGCCACAGGAGAATATTTTTTGTGCAGGCATACCCATGAATTTTACTGTTCC